TGATCATCCCATTCTGGCAGAGATGAGCTGGTCTACATATGGCATGTGGGTGTACCGCGTGGAACTACCTCCTGGCCAAAACGTCTCTGTGCGAGCAGCCGTTCCACGTCACATGGACATTTACTTCAGCAGTGCCTACAAGCTGTACAATTCTCACGCGCAGCGCATCAGCACGGAGCCTAGGGTGCCGATGTTTGAAGGCTTCACAATGCCTCCTCTGACCATCGACAGCGAACGGAATGCAATGCACAAGCAAGTTCAGTGTCGGCCTTTTGCTATTTCGGATGAGCGTGCTGCAGAAGACAGTCCGGAACAGCAAGTGGTGCGTGCATTTGCATCTTTCAGCAGCCCCCGCGCTCCCAGCAGCAACGATCTCAGCTTGGCCGCTGCCACTGCCTTCACAGAATCTTTCTTGGAATGGCGTGCTACAGCCGAGACCGAAGCCGCAGAAGCTCGAACGCGCTTCAGTGTGCGTCAAGAGTTTCCTTCGCTCTGGGAGACAGAGGAGCTGCGCAACGCCATGCCATGGCCGAGAAAGTGCAGCTGCAGAGTCTGCTGATTTCGAGATGCGCGAGCTTGATACTGCCGGCTGCCTGCCCGGCGCTGAGCTACGCTCGCCAGTCGCTGCGACTCTGGACGAGGAGACGACTGGTCTAGCTCTGCACGCTCGCGGGGATGGCAAGCCACGTGCTACCGCTGCCATGTATTCTTCTATGCTTGCAATGGAGCGCATCGCCAACATGGAAGGCCTTGCGCGGGCTCGGCAGACGAAGCCCAAGAAGCGGCGGGACACTGATGCCCATCTGCAGGAGCAGTTTGTGTCTGTCACAACGGCGGGCGAGAATGACTTGGATGCGGCGGAGAATGAAGATGTCGACGAGGACTGGCAGCCGGAGCGGCCAAAGCAGCCCAGCGAAGTCTTTCAGCCCATAACTTTTCGTCCTTCGAGCGATGAGCAGCGCAAATTACTGCAATTGGGCTTCCAGGGCAGGAAGAACAAATACACGACTGAGTTCTTGCAGGAGACCTGGATGCAGATGGATGCCTTCGATTTGGCCGCCGCCGCGCCTTCAAAGCCTCAGCCTTTGGCTGGTTTCATGCGCGAGCTCGAGTCATTGGACCCTGCTGCTCAGCGCGATGGAAGTTTTTGTTTGTTTTCGATTTGAAAGTTACGGGTTGCTGCCGTTGCTTTTCATTTTGTTGGGACTGTTGTTTTGTTTTGTTTTTTGGTTTTTTGGTCTTTGTTGTTGTGTATTACTGATTGGCCGCAAATGTGTTTGTCTAATGCTTTGCAGCTCGAGGAAAGCCGCGCCAACTTCTTGGGATCTTTGCGGCGGAGGCCTGGTGATCAGGCAGCGGCCGCGCAGCCGCCTGCAACTGAAGACCTAACCCAGGCTCGTCTTTTGTTGAGCATGCTTCCTCGCTTGCCTCGGGACTGTGCCCGCTTCAGCGAGCAGCAAGTTTACAGCAAGCCATCGTTGCTCGTGAAAGACGTGATATCTTCGCTGCCGGCATCTGGTCGCTTGAACGAAGACCAGCACCTGTTCATGCTTCGCTTTGCAGATGTGCTGGACAAGGTGTACGATGAGGCAAGGGTCAATTCAACATAAGTAAATAAATAACACCCAACCCGTAGTGTAGCTTCTTGTAGTTGCTGTGCGTTCGTGTTTTTCTGCGGGAATGATGGGTGGACACTGGCAGGAGCAACGCCTGCCGCCCGAGCAGCGGGGTGTCTACCACTTGCTGCTCCTTGGCCAAGGCGGCTCTGGCAAGACCCACATCGTGCAGAACATCATCTTTCCGGTCATGCTTTTCATTTGGCCTCCGGAAGGTGGGCAAGAGACATTGAAAGTGGTGGCAGCGAAGAATTCGCAAGCAAAGAATATATCGACGGATGCAGTGCGAGCCAGCACGATCCACGCAGCTGCGTGCATGCGCGTGCAGAACTTGTCCAATGGGAGCATGGCGGCGGGCACACAGGAGAAGCGTCTGCAGAAGCATTGGCAGGCGTGCCGCTGCTTCATCATCGAGGAGATCAGCATGGTGTCTGCGCTGCTCTACAACATGTTAAATTTTCGGTCGATGCTTGGGCGGCGGCACAGTCACAGCGTGGAGCCACACACGTACACCAGAGTCGGCCACGCCTTCGGACGACTGCCTGTTGTCCTACACCTGGGAGATTTCTTTCAACTCCGCCCGACAGCGCAGATATCTCTGTTGGACGATCTGTTGCGGACGGACTCCGATGGCAGCTTGCTGCATCCGAATGTCATGCCGGCGATTCAGCACGCTCAGAAAGTCTTCGGAGAAGTCCCTGACGTCTTCGAACTGAGAGGCACTATGCGCTTCGTAACTGGCGATCCTCTGATCGACATTTTACAATGCATGCGTGCTGGGCGAGCATTTCCAGACGAGCTTTGGCGCCAGCTGAAAACTAGGTTCGCGAAGGATGCTGGAGTTGGCCAAGCTGATCCGCGCCTCAGTGAGGAGAACTTCCACAGCGGCTACTGCATGTCCATCTACTGGGCATCTTTGTCCCGCATGCTTTCTCGCCGCGCGGTGCTGGATGCCCGTCGGGCAGAAGTGCCTTTGGTGCTGCTGCAGTGCGCGGACGAGTGCTCCGAGCTGGACAAGCCGGCGGCTTTCCGTTTTCTTAGCCAGCCAAATCCGAACCGGACAGGGCACGCGCATGGCATTTTTCCTTGTCACGCGGGCATGGAGATTCGTCTGCTTGCAAAGTTGGATGGCCAAGCTGGCATGGTGCAAGACACACAGGGCGTGATCTTGGACTTCGAGTTCCACGCGGAGGACCGCGCTGCTTGCAAGCGACTTGCGTCCGGGAGCTTATTTTCTCCGCGGTTCTTGCCGTCTGGCTTATGGGTGTCCGTAAGAGGCTACGCCGGCAACCAGGACTGGCCGGACGTGTTTGAGCTGTGTCGCTCACATGTGTCGACGGACGAGGAGGCGGAGAAGCTGGCGAAGAGCTTGTGGTTTCTGCCGGCTGTGGAAGTGGAGGTGCTTTTTTCCAGCACGCAGAAGTACACTGTTCGCCGCTGCGGCTTCCAGATCACGCACGCCAAGTTTCTCACGAGCACTGCTTCGCAAGGCATCACGCTGCGCCAGGGCACAATTGTGGATTGCGCTCGGCTTCCCGAAATGGATGATGACAACTGGTGGCTGCATCTGTATGTGATGTTCTCCAGAGTCACGAAGCTTGACGGCCTCTTGCTGTTTCGGCCGCCGCCTCGTGATGTGCTGGAGCGAGGTCCTCCAGCCAGCATTCAAAAGAGCCTGGAAGTGTTTTTGCAACGCGCCAAAACATGCCGAGCTGGAGCCCAGCAACTCAGAGCTTCGGCGGGGAGGCGCTCTGCGTGAGGCTGGATGGAGATAAATTCTGCGCGAGATTGAAGTTGCTTCTTGTTGTTGTTGTTTCTTGTTGCTTCTTGTTGCCGTCGTTATTCTTGTTGCTGTTGCTGCTGTTGTCCTTGTTCCTGTCATCGTTTTTTGCTGTTGTTCCGGTCTACATCTTAAGCCTGCGCGACCATGCTTTTTGCGACACACATCGTGCGCCGCCTCCTGCACACTGGCGCGCGTCAGGCCCACTGGCTGGATGGTGCCGGATTGCTTTGCCCAGGCTGCCGGAAGCTTAGCGCCTTATGTCCTTTGGCTTCTTCAACCTTTGTGATTGCAGACGTTTTGGTGTAGCTCCTGGGGAGTCAGGCCAGCACGGATACTGTTTTTTGACACGAGCAAGACGATTGGCTTTGTGAGCGCAGGCGCCATAGCGTAGCTCCTGGAGCTTCGGTCCTCTTGAGGCTGCAAAGCGTGTTTGCTTTGAACACACCGCGTTTTTGTTTAGTATTTTTCTTCCCTATAAGTCTATGCTTCTCTTACACTCACTCACACACACTCACTCTCTCACACTCACTCACACACTCACTCACACACACTCACTCACACTCACACTCTCTCACACTCACTCACTCACACACCACTCACTCACACACACTCACTCACACACACTCACTCACACTCACACTCACTCGCACACACTGTCTAAAGGGACAGGATGTTGTCGAGCCACTGTCGAAGTCGTGGCAGGCGCAGCATTGTGCGCATCTGGGCGTGTGTTTGTGTGGCAGGGACAGCGTTTGGCAGCTCTCCAAAGGGACAGGCGTAGCACTTTGGAGATGCCACTGTCGAAATCGTGGCAGGCGCAGCATTCTGTGCATCTGGGCGTGTGTTTGTGTGGCAGGGGCAGCGCTTGGCAGCTCTCTAAAGGGACAGGATGTTGTCGAGCGCGCGCTTCGGGACGCCGTTTTGCGTGACAGGCGCAGCATTTTGGAGATGCCACTGTCGAAATCGTGGCAGCCGCAGCATTCTCTACATCTGGGCGTGTGTTTGCGTGGCAGGGGCAGCATTTGGTAGCTGTCTAAAGGGACAGGATGTTGTCGAGCGCGCGCTTCGGGACGCCGTTTTGCGTGACAGGCGCAGCACTTTGGAGATGCCAGTTACCGAGCACTTTACGATCAGAGCATGCACTCATTCACACTCATTGAGCCACACGCCCCCCGCAAGTCTAAATTCACAGACACACACAGTCAAGTAAAACAGCGGTCGCCCTCACTCACTCACTCGTTGACTCACGTGAGCTGTCAGGATAATTTCAAAGCCAAAGCGTACGTCAGACGGCGGCGTGTTGGACCAGGCCTCAGATGCAAAGCTGATGTCATGAGCTTGGCTACTTGACACGCAGCTACCGAGGCCATCTCGGCCTTTTTGCGCGAATGTGCGCGGCAATGAGTTTTTTCACGCTGGCAAGGGCGCCACAAGAAAGCGCGTCCGTGATCTTGCCCAAGGAGATCAGCAGCATTACTTGTTTCTCTACGCGGCTGCTGCAGATTGCTTGGAGTGCACCGAGGCTTGGCTTCAGAGGGGGGCTGATCCAGCACGCGGCACGATCCACAACAAGACTTGGAATGCGCTGGAGTGGGCACGGCATGCCGGCGCTCAGCGCACTTTGGGCTTGCTGGGCGGTCGGCCAGCTGTGGAATGTGGAGAAGAAGTACAAGGCGTGTGGCGACCTGTGGAAGTGACGGGGTCAATTCCACCGCCGCCCCCCCCTCCACCGCCAGCTTTGGGTGACGTTGTGCAAGACCGCAAAAGCTTCTTTCGGTCAGGAAGGGTTGGCCCAGTGTTTGCGGCGGCTCTGGCTGGCGAGGCCGACGACCTCGAGCGGATCTGCGCCAGCGTCGGCGGCGCGGTGCACCATGAGCGGCCTTTACTAGAGGTAGGCGATTTGCCCGAGCTCATGGACTTCTGGACAGTTCGGGAGTACGTCTTCTTAGCTCGGCTGTTGCGCGCCGCGAAGGACTCGTCTGCTGTGGAAGTAGAGAGGTTGGACGAAGTGTTCGCGCTGTTGGACGAGCTTGAGCAGACGGAAGCAATCGGAGTTGCTCGAGAGTGGTCTTCTGGATCTATGGCTGAGCAGGACAGTCGCAAGTTCCAAAGCAGCGTGCTCGGTCGAGCATTTTCTGTTTTTATTCGTGACAATGGCTCAGAGCAACAGAAGCTCATCGAGCAGGCCTGCACCAAGCCAGACGCTAAAAAGCTGGAGGAGCTGCTGACTGGCGACTGTAGGTCCGTCAATTCATTGATGACGAGGACGGATGGTGGCTTTTCGTCGCATCCAAAGTGTGCTTGCTGGCCCTTGCGCATGTACATCTACGCGCGGCAGAGCGTGGAAGAAGACCACGACATAGTGGCAAGCCTCCGGCAGACATTGGAGATTGTCGACGAGTTTGAACGGGAGATGGTTGAGAGCATCGCAGACACTGCAGAGATGCTTACTCCCGCACAGCGAGCCAATCTTTGCGTTCTGCTAGGCGTGCCAAACTTTCAAATTTGTGATCCGGCTTAGGAAACTGCGCCGCTCTGCCGCGCTTCGTGACCCAGCACGGGGAAGACTCGCGGTAGGGACTTGGCCGAGACTCGTGCGACAAAGTGACGCCACTGCGTTGCTGTGCGTGCTGCAGCATGTAAGACTTTTCCATGACGTAGCTACCGGCTATTTTCTAGATATCATTTTGCAGCTTTCATGGGGAAATGTTGGATGCTTCGCTTCCTAGGCAGCTTTCAACGTGTTCTGCTGTTTTCCGTCTTGCCACCGCCCAAAGCCTCTTAGGGTTTCGAAGTTTCTCTCGACATGGCTGGCCTCTCAGACTGCTTAGTTAGCCACGTGTATTCCGTTTTGAACTGAGCGTCGCAAACTTGAGCAGGCGTCGTCGTCATGTTGAAGATGGCCGCAGGTTGGCCTGTGCCTCGGCTCCTGCTTTGTTTCTCACAAGGCAGCAAGCAAAATGCATTTTTGTTGGCGAGCACCCAGTGACTTCCAGGTGCCGCGGTTTGTGACCCAGCACGGGAAAGAAAAGCGGCAGTGACTTGTGGCCGAGCTTCGCGCGACGAAGTGATGACACTGCGTTTGTGTGGGCTGCAGCACGCAGGCCGCTCTCCATGCGTGCGTTCTGAAGGGCTATAAGTGGAGACACGCAGTGGTAGAATTGAGTGTTGCAAGGTCCCGGTTACTCTTATAGGTACTCTGTGTTGCCCTGTCACAATGCCGGCTTCTCAGGCAGTCTGCCTAGACGGCTGCTGTTGTTTCACGACCTATTTGCTCTAGCCTGACTGAAGGGACGACACCATCTGTTAGGGCTGATGTTTTCGTGTATAGTGATATTGAAACCCCTGCTGCCCTCCATTGTTTCTACTGATTTTGGCGGATGCACGCTAAAAGAAGGCCACGCATTGAAGAAATTGCGCCTTTGAGCGTTGCAAACTTGCCAGGGCGTCGTCTTCATGCCGAAGACGACCAGAGGTTGGCCTGTGCCTCGGCCCCCTCTTTGTTTCTCACAGGGCTGCGTGAAATTTGGTGGTCGAGTTGGCCACGCTGCCTTGCTCATGTGAGTGTTCTTATTAGCACGCATAGCCAGAGCATGCTGCCTGTCGACGGCTTGGGCTCAGAGCTCTTTTTTTTCTGCGGAGACAGACACTCGCGCGATCCAGCACGGAAAGGCGTGCGCCGTGTGCGCCTAGCAAACCCAACGTTCGTCTTGTTGACGAGTTCTACGTTGTGTCGGCCACTGCTTGGTGGCCAAATGTGAAAGCCAATCCTAGCAAAGAGAAGATGTGCAAGACATACGAGGTGAAGCTGCGCTTCCAGTCACATGGCACAGCGCAGGCGCTGCTAGGAATTGTTACTTTTTCAACACCTTGAACCTTGTCCTCAAGGAGTTCACGCTCAGCGCTCGTTGGAAGAGTCATGAGCTGGAAGCGGAGGGCTACCCTGTCTGGCATGCTCAAGCGCCCCAAGAGCTGCCTGCTTTCCACGGCCGGTTCCTGGTGGAGATGCCAGACCACAACGGTAGTGTGGCGACCCGGGACGTGCTGCTCATGGAGAAGGTAGGCTACAGCTTGGCGAAGACGTTGGGGCGTTGCCTGTAGATGTGCCTCTTTCCAGCACAACTGAACTAGCTGTTCAGGACTGTTTGCAGGGCATCGCGCGCATGGCCAAAGCTAGTCACAGCAAAGGCTTGCTTTGGAACGCAGATTTTCACTCTGGAAACATGCGCTTTTGCGCCGAGAGCGGCACATGGAAAACGGTGGACATGGAGGGCTTTTTGCGGCTTGGGGAAGGCGTGAGCTTTGCGCAGAGCTGGCAGAAAGCACGCAAAAGGCTCTTGCGAGAAGATGAGAAGCACCCTGCGAAGGTGTACTTTCGAGAGCTCGTGCGCGAGGCGGATGAGGCTGGACTGCGGCAGTCTTCCAGTGGGCCATCAACGGCGCACCTGGAGGCGGCTCCTTTGACGTCAGCAGCCACGGCGCATCCAGAGGCGGCTCCTTCGACGTCAGCAAGCCCGTGGTCTACTCAGGTCACGGCGCCCCTGGCGGCGGCTCCTATGACGTCAGCAAGTCCGTGGTCTTCTCAGGTTGCGCCGCCCCTGGCGGAAGGTTCTCCCGCGTCAGCAAGTCCGTGGTCTGCTCAGGTCACGGCGCCCCTGGCGGAAGCTTCTCCCGCGTCAGCAAGTCCGTGGTCTGCTCCGCGCGAGCGCGCGACGCCCCCTGTGGAAGCTTCTGCGGCGTCCGCAGGTCTATGGGCTGCTCCGCGCAAGCTGGAACAGCGAGGCGAGAAGCGGCCCATAGACCAGCGGACGCTTCCCCAAGCAGACCTTTCGAGTGGACAGCGGCGGGCTCGAGCGAAAGAGCCTTCTGCGCCAGCCGCCGCCAGTCGTGCGCTGGAGGCACCTCACTTTCCTTTGCTGGATAAGGATGTGGAGGAAGCGCCGGGCTTCTACAGGCTTCTAGAGCTGGGCCAGCCACCTGTTTAAACTGTTTAAACACCCCTTCTTTGAAGAAACTAGTGGTGCTTTCTGTTTAAAGGAAGCCACTGGATGGCTGTTTCAACATTTTTTGCCAAACCCTGCAGGCTTCCTTGGCATGGGCTGCTGACGCCGCAGATATGCAAACACTTGTCTGCTTGGTGCGCTGCTGGCGGCTGCCGGGAGTTAGTCTTGAAAATTTGGAGCGCGCAGCAAGACAAGCGTTGCTTCGCCAAAGGCAGAAAGATCAGCGCTGAGGTTTTGTTCTTTTGCTGTCCCGACGACGTGGACATCGATGTCTTTGCCAACTTGGAGCAGCTCGCTAAGGACAAGCTGACGTGGCTCGACATTCACTGCTGCTCAGATGTTGAATGCCCCCAGCATCAGCCAGGCTTTTACTTCTCTGAAGCCGAGCCTCTGTCGGAAGGCGTGTGTATGTTGTTGCGTGAGATTCATGAGCGGCAGAATGTTCGCTGCTACTTGTATCAGAAGTACGATGTCCTGCTCCGGACGATGCCGGCCACACAGCTGCCAATGGCCCGCCTCTTCTATGACGAGGCTGGAAACGCTTTTGCTTACCGGCCTGGTCCTGGCACCAAAACTCCAAAAGCTCACGAGTCCGACAACGTTGCCGGAGGCAAGCGCAAGAATGATCTGCCGCGCCCAGCTTTCTACGCGGCATTCTGGATCATGGCTATGTTGCACGAAAGGTTGTCGGAAATGTATACGCAACACACGGGCCGGCAGCCTTCGGGAGGAGTTCATGCGCTGGCGGTCCATGGAAAAACTTTGCCCACCACTACACTCCAGTTTTCACCAACCCGAAGTTCAAGGATTTTGTTGGTTTGTCTGAGAACTTCACACGGGTGGTGGACATGGACGCCTTGATTCAGGGCTTGACCCGATTCACGCAAGCAACCATGCGGAGAAACATGCACCGCGACGTCTTTCAGTTCAAGGGTCTGCGCGCGGAGCATGTGGATGTGCAGCGCTTAGCGGTGCTGACAGCGCACGCGGCAAAGGAGTTCTTGCCAAAGTGCGCTATGCTCATTTTGCTTGGCCAATGACTGCCGCAAGCAGATGTCAGCGCAGACCCATACTTTTGAGTCATTGTCCGCTGGAGCCGCGCGACCCAGCAAGGGAAGGCGGAGACCAGTAGGCGAGACGAAGTCGCATCGTGCTTTGAGAAAAAGACAGGGCCGTGCCTCAGGGCCTGCCAAGGCGTCCGCAGAGCACTGATTACTCTTCTTGCCCGAGGCCAAAGAGCCGCCATTTAGGCACAGAGCTGAGTTTCGAGGCTTGGGCTGCGTTTTGTGTGCCCGGCATTCCTCTCCAAGCGGCTGCGCTTTTTAAAAGTAAGCGGGAACCCCCCCCTAGAGCTTTAATGTTTATCATGTTTCCACTGTTTTTCGGGCTGCTACTCACATTGCCCGAGGCCACAGAGATGCCAAATCGTCTCGAGGCTTAGTTACCAGGCCGGGGCTGTGCGTTTTGCGCGCCCATCACTCCTTGCCACCTGGTTGTGCGTCGTTAAGTGAGTGAGAACTCCCGTATAGCTTTTGTGTTTACCAAGTTTTTGCCACAGCTCGCCACTCTTCTTGCCCGAGGCTACCGAGCTACAACTTCGGCTCGGGGCTGAGCTTCCAGGCTTGGTTGCATTTTTCGTTGCTAGCACTCCTTTCCAGCATGGCTGTGCGTCATGAGTGAGTGAGAACTCCCGCAGCTTGAGCACTCTAGCTGTAGCTTTGGTGTTAGCAGAGTTTTGCTCTTTTTCGGTTGCTTTGCGCAATGCACGCTCGCCAACAAGTGGCCGTGTCTGAGCACCCCCTGTTGTATTACATCGCTGTGCTTCCTTGTGTTGCATCCTGAGTTTCTGCTGCACGCCCATGTCCTTGTAGCTTTCAACTTCTGTGCGCAGTTACTGCGCGCAGCAGCTGCGAGCCTAGGTGGCGACGCTGGACGAGGCGCAGCCGATCTCCCGCTGCTATCAGCCTGGCGCCGGCGATCACTTTAGCCTGCGCAGCTTGCCGGATTTGGCGCGAGATCGATACTACTGGTGGGCTGACACGGTGCAGATGCTCAGCTCCTGAAAGAGTTTTGAGTTATCTTTCTTCGGGCCTATTTTTGGGAGCCTGTTTTCCTTCTTTGGGCGCGCTTCTCGCTGGTAGAGCTGCTGAGGCCTGATCCAATTTTGGCGCGCCTGACGCTCACCTTGATTGGGCGCCGGTTCTTTGGAGCAGGGCGCCCTGGAGGAAGTCCGAGGCGGCAACGTCCGCGAGGGCTTTTAGGCGCGGCTGCGCATTCCGCTGCAGCGCGGCGCGGTCTATCACGGCGAGGAGCTGCTGTACACGACGGAGCTTCTGGATGCGACCGCCGACTGAGGGCTCTTTGGCGGTCTAGCATGTATAGCCGTGTTGCTGGCGGGGCGCGCGATCCAGTACGGAGAGGCGCTGCCGCCAGGACGCAGAGCGTCACGCAGTCAGAAAAGGCCACAGCCCGCTTTCGTCCCGCATGTATACGAGATAGATACACAGTCTTTGACACG